CTGTTTCACTAAATCGCATACGGTTTGTTGTCCAACTCCAATCCGTTAAGCAGCAAAGTGACACTATCACCATGTTGACGTCTGTTAATAATTTCTAATTTTTTCCCACTTTTAAAACTACCCGTTTTCACTTAAGAGCCATTACTACAGTACATACAGCAACGAGCTGCAGTACAGTACCTACGCAACAGGAATTACACAAAAAGAGTGACAACTAGTGGTGGAACGGATATTCGGCAACTATCCGGTATCCGGCCTATACGGCAATTTTTTTAAATCCGACCGGATACTGGATAGTTACCAAATATCACGCTTTGGCCGGATATTAAAAACCTATTACTTAGTACTCCACCATTCACAGGAATTAGTATCTCTTTCAGGTGTTGGACACTGCAGATAATAATCAAGTTCAACCCCAATAGGACTTTTTTCATTGAATACAACTTTATATCGTTTCGTCTACTTTTCTTCTCTTTGCTTGTAATTCATCATCACATTGATTATTAACAGAAGTATCCTCTTTTTAATGCAAAAAGCCGTTTTGAAAAATCACTTTCAGTTCTTGAGTTCTTCAATTTTTTCGAATTTTGCAATTTTCGCCGATTAAGTTTTAAGAATTCATATAAATTCCATTTCTTCGAATATGAGGTTGCAAATTTTCCAAAGTGTTAATAAGAGTGTCCTCTTTTCAATGAACCAACACATTTTGACAAATAACTTTTAGTTTTTGAGAAAACAATATTTGAAGTTTTGAAAAAATTTTCGATGTTGCAATTTTGATCGATAATTTTCAAAATTCGCTATAAAATTAATTTCTTTAAGGATCCTTGTGGAAATATCACCAATTATTGATTAAAGTATCCTCTTTTTAATGCAAAAAGCCGTTTTGAAAAATCACTTTTAGTTCTTGAGAAATAAATTGTTGAAATAATCGATATTTTTTTGGAATATTGCAATTTTCGCCGATTAAGTTTTAAAAATTCGTATAAAATCTATTTCATGGAATATGAGTATGAAAATTTCCCAAAGTGTTAATAAAAGTGTCCTCTTTCCAATAAACCACCCCGTTTTGAAAAATATCTTTTAGTTTTTAAGAAAACAAAATTTGAAGTTTTTATAAAATTTTCAAAATTTCCTATAAAATTGATTTCTTGAAGGACCCTTGTGGAAATATCGCCAATTATTGATTAAAGTATCCTCTTTTTAGAATTGCTTCGTTAGTTAAATCAGTATCAAAAAAAGTCATTTTGTATCTTGGATCCAAATAAGTTGACATATCTTATCAGCTTTCTTATTAATTTCAATTTTATTAAAATATCGCAATAATGTGGCAATATAGAGTATCACTTCAGAAATGCACCAGAAATTATAACCATGATGGCCGGATAGATATGCCGGATAACCGGATATCCGACCGAAGGGGTATCCGGGTATCCGGCTTTTCGTAAAATCACTATCCGTTCCATGACTAGTGAAAACCCTTGTAGTAATAGGAGTGGCGAAATCAAAATATCTTTTAGTTTGTGAAATATTAATTTTTAAACATAGGTAATTTAATTTCTCATTATTTGAGATAAACAATCATATTCAAAAAGTCTTAATAAATCACAGGTTTAATAAATTTTTATGAAATTATTAGCATTTGCAATACAACTTATTAGCTTTCCAATGAAGGAAACGGATTTTCAAAATATCGTTTCATTTTTGAGATATTCTTTTTTTATCATAATAAATAAAGATTTTACTAAATCATTATGTGATTATACAGCAGATTATAAGCTTTCCAAGGGAAGAAATCGCTTTCAAAATGTTTTTCGTTTTTGAGATAAACAATTATTTTCAAGTTTGTATAGTTTAAATTAATTCTTATGTTATATACGCACGATTAAAGAATGGTTTAATCGTCTATTTGTTCAGTTCGGCGTTCTCTCACAACATCAGAAAAATAATAAATCTTTGTCCCAAAATAAACCCAATTTACCGGCGAGACGATAGCAACAAACCGCCCAGCAACAAACTTTTTCCTTTATATTTCCACCTACTTCTAGGGCCCATATCTTTGTTATTTAGAAAGATAGCGAAAAACTAAGCACACGGTTGGAAAGCTTGGTCTTTTCNTAAGTTGACATATCTTATCAGCTTTCTTATTAATTTCAATTTTATTAAAATATCGCAATAATGTGGCAATATAGAGTATCACTTCAGAAATGCACCAGAAATTATAACCATAATGGCCGGATAGATATGTCGGCGGAAGGCGGAAGGGGATGCCGAATATCCGGATCCGGCTTTTCGTAAAATCACTATCCGTTCCATGACTAGTGAAAACCCTTGTAGTAATAGGAGTGGCAAAATCAAAATATCTTTTAGTTTTTGAAATATTAATTTTTAAACATAGGTAATTTAATTTCTCATTATTCGAGATAAACAATCATATTCAAAAAATCTTAATAAATCACAGCTTTAATAAATTTTTATGAAATTATTAGCATTTGCAATACAACTTATTAGTTTTCCAATGAAGGAAACGGATTTTCAAAAAATCGGTCCGTTTTTGAGATATTCTTTTTTTATCATAATAAATAAAGATTTCACTAAATCATTATGTGATTATACAACAGATTATAAGCTTTCCAAGGGAAGAAATCGATTTCAAAATGTTTTTCGTTTTTGAGATAAACAATTATTTTCAAGTTTGTATGGTTTAAATTAATTCTTATGTAATATACGCACGATTAAAGAATGGTTTAATCGTGTATTTGTTCAGTTCGGCGTTCTCTCACAACATTAGAAAAACAATAAATCTTTATCCCAAAATAAATCCAAAATTTTTACGATTATTTCTAGTTATTTGGAAGTAAATTAGGTGTTTCTAATTTCTCTCTATTATTAAACTAAAATTAGAACTAACACTAGAAACTTTCCGGTTTTGCCGTGAGTCTTTTAATAAAAGGTTTGACGTTTCGGATACCATGTTGCAACCTTCTTCAGAAACTGGTTCGAAATGACGAGATCAAAAATCGGTAACTGTATATAAGTCGGAAAAAGCGAATTAATAATTAGTTAGTGCTAATTACAAGCTAATTAGTAACTAATTGCGTCGTGTCCGGCGTGAGGCGGGAAGAGGTCTTCGTGTTCACCACCATCTTCCATGTTCTGCTAAGCTCCTACCCATCCTCTCTGTTGGCGTTATTTTTATGTCGGTGGATCTCTATGGTTTCTCTTGTCAGTCTTTGGTAGTATCTGTTGTCCCTAGCCAGCACTTTTGTTTGTTCGAAGTCTATTCGGTGCCCCTCTGCATGGCAATGTTCCGCAATCGCCGACTGTTGGATCTTTTTCAGCCTTACATCCCTCTCATGCTCCTTGATGCGGCACTCGACGTTGCGTCCAGTTTGGCCAACATAAACCTTCCCACAGCTACACAATAGTCGGTAGACCCCCGCTCCTTTTAATGGAGTTAATTTGTCCTTGGCTATCGGGAGTGTGTTCCGAATTTTGCTGACCGTGCCGTACCGCACTACGATGTCGTTCTTCTTGAGGTGCCTAGCAATTCGTTCCGTTACACCTGAAACATAGGGAGACAGATAAATCCAAGTGGTTTTGTACTTGCCGTGTCCTCTTTCTGCTTTCGCTGCTTGATGGCCTGGTTGATGTCCCTCGAAGTGTATCCATTCTTCTGCAGCACGCCTCGTAGAAAGTGCTGCTCCTTCTTCAAGTTCTCTCCTTCACATAGTCTCGCTGCTCGCTGAAATAATGTACTGATCACGGACCTCTTTTGTTGGGGATGATGATGTGAACATGCCTGTAAATACCTGTTGGTATGGGTCTCCTTTCGATATACACCAAGTTCTATATCTCCATTTGTCGTTCTGGTGACCAACACATCTAGGAAAGGTAGTTTTTTGGCAGTTTCTGTTTCCATGGTGAACTTAATCATAAGATGTTGAGAGTTCAAGTGATCCAAGAACTCTTGGAGCCGTTTGTGACCATGTTGCCATATCACAAATGTGTCATCCACATATCGGAGCCATAGTTTTGGTTTCCACTGGTTCTTCTCCAAAGCGTCTTCTTCGAATAATTCCATGTAGAAATTAGCTATAACTGGCGATAGTGGAGATCCCATGGCTGCCCCTTCGAACTGCTCGTAAAATTCTCCTTTCCAGCTGAAATACGTCGACGATAAACAATACTCCACCAGATCTGGCACGTATTCTGGTAAACCCTCCGGAATGAGTAATTTTAGTTTAATTCACACCGGCCGTGAAAGCCTTCGTACTTATATTCTCTCTATTATATTACATTTTTTTCATAAATAATTCATTCCAACAAAAATTTGGGACTAAAACGTTTTGGAATATTTTCATTTATCAATGTTACGTAATTCCAGATTAATTATTTTTAATTCTTTTATTTTGTAAATTTGCTATCATAAAATAAGTTACTTTTAGCTCTTTATCGACTATATTCCAATAACACGCCATCAAAACATTATTACAGATAATAAAATAAGCCGTTTTAAATATGTACAAGTCAATAAATGAGTCACTAAAAAAGTTCTCGTTTATTTTTTGCTCCGATATTATTTACTTAGTTAGACTGATACGGTTGTTATCCCATTTTATTGTCATTTAAAGATAGTGATAATTTGGCACCGACCGCAATACGCCAAAGTTTATTTTTATATCTTTACATTTTCATAAAGTAACAGCATAAAATCACAAAATTTATGTACCACGAAAAGATTTCTAATATATAACTCTGAAACATTTCCTTCTTATAAAATACATAGTAACTTTTTTTAGCTTTCTTGTAGAATTTTTTTTTTGTAAAGATTCTTTTTTTAGACTTTGTAGAACACTGTAGTACTCCTTGAGATCCCATTGTTTAGATTATCCAAGACCAGTAGAAGACGGAGAAAGAATAGGTGAAAAGAGGTTTACTCGGAGTCGACGTAAAAGCTTCCACAATGACGTCATAGAGGACCGCGTGCTCGCAGTCGGTTTTCCGCGACGTTTCGTCGACGACCGTCGCAGTGCATTATCCGGCGTCGTCGCGTCGACTACCGTTCACGAAGAAGAAGCTTACCCCGTAAACGCGAAAATCGATCAAAAACCTGGAGATCCCAACAACCTCCAAATTACCACCAAAAAAAAATTCCTTCATCTGTATACATTAATCTAATCGTCCGGTGAAACTATACGAATCAAAAATATGATATTAGTAGTGTTAAAAAATTGTTCATCGACGGAAATCGAAGAAACAAAGATAGTAACGATGAAGAGGGTATTAAGTTAAAGTTGTACTTAAACTTAAAACAGTTTTAAATAGAGAAAACGTCAAACGCGTTTGGGCCGATGCCGCGGGGTTATGTGGAGAAGCGTTTATTTTTCGTACGGAGGTAACCGTGGTCGTCGACGAAGAGGCGGAGGATCGTCGAACTAAGAAGAGAAGAGGGTGAGCGAATTTTCGAAATAGTGGTGGAAACGGAGAGGGGCGATTTCGCTGTAAAAAGGGGAAGTAGGGAGCTGATTTTGGATCCGCGCGTTACGAGAAAAATGGACAAGCCGAGGATAAGTGAGTAGTATATTTTAGATGTTATCTGGCATTGTTTTTAGTTTTAAATTTGGACGATGTAACTGGGTCGTCAGGTGAAAATAGGCCTTTTCAAAATTCTTCGAATTTAAGACATCAATGATATTTTCAATATTATTTCGAGTAAAGATTTTACATTTAACTATTTTGGTTCTTTAAGAATTAATTTATTTTAAGAAACATTTCGTTTTATTCTAGAAACATTACTATTAATTTTAGTCAATTTTAGGTTCAAATGAACAAAGTGTTATAAATAATACAAAAAATAATAAAGTTAATCATAAAAAACAAAAACATATCAATAAGAGTTAAGAAAAACGTTTTCTATCAGATTTTTATGGTGTTTTTGATCTCTTTGAAACTTCCAGCAGTAGTCTACCATCCTATAGCGATCCCAATGGCTTGATATCTTCCCTCAATAACCTTGATGTCCTGGTGAAATCGTTCCCGTTGTCCTTCGCTATAATTACCGCAAATAATGCTATTTGATACTCATATTAGCTCCTAATTTTTGTAAATTCTGGAACATTTTGTGTACTACTTCGGCATATTCTTCAGCTGTATGATTCCCAAAAAAAATTTTGACAACTGATACAAAGCTTGTCCATCTTTCCAATTCAACTTAAGTCGTGTGGTGTGAAATCATCGTTGTTTATAAGAGTACGGATTTGCGACCCATCAAAAATTTCTCCTTTTAACTTTTCTCTACTGATACCAGGAAATAAATGACAAATACAGGTGGTTCAGTTTTTAATCGGAAAACTGTACAGGGTGTCCCAATTTCGATGTCCGCATAGGCTATTTCCGAAACTAAAAGAGATAGAAAATGCTAATGCCGAAAACTCCGAACAGCTATCGTCTTTTGTTTTCGCCCTATCGGCAAAAACTGAAAATTTTGCGAAAACGACAATCGCGAATATCTCACTTATTATCAAAGATGGAGTATTATAAATAAAACATTATATGGGCAACTTTTTACGAAGAATTCAGTGGCGTAGGTAGAATTTTTTTCCCATCTTTTATTTTCGAGATTTTAGACGTAACTTTATTTTTTTAAATGGAAACCATAGTTGGCTATGACCTAAAATAATTTGTTATTTTCTTCTGATAACAAATATATATAGTTTGTGGGGTATATTTCTTATAGTTATTGAATAATTAACAAAAATTCATTTTGTTCTATCTAAAACTAATGTATGTATTTAAAAGTTAATGTTGCTATGGTGATAACCATACATACTATGATGGAACATAATGTATCAATTTTTTTTGTTCTTTCTAAAACTATTGTATGTATTTAAAACTTAATGTTGTTATGGTGATAACCATACCATGAGGGAAAGCATTGTTTCCAATTATTGCCAAAGTTTGTAGCAAGGACAGTAGAATCTAACAGGACTGCTACATCCATTGTATTTTTGTAGTCGACTACGGGTTGGTTGCCCGCACTCTACGTCACACTATTTGCCACGCCTGGTAACTGTCTATGTTTTTAGAGGTTATATGATAGACATTAATACGTCTAAAAACATAAAACTTCAAAACTAATATGAATACGTCTAGGATATAACCTCTAAAAACACACAGCAAACGCATAGACCATAACAACAGCTAGGCGTGGAAAATGGTGTGACGTAGTTTGCGGGTAGGCTGTCACAACAATGGATGTAGCAGTCCTGTTAGATTCTACTGTCCTTGAGTTTGTAGTAGTATTTAAAAATTCACTAACAACTCTGGCATTATGTGCTGGTGCTCCGTCATATTGAAAATATATCATTTGAGACATATTTAGTGGCAAATTGTCGACCAAAGGCTCAATGTGCTGCCTTAATATATTGAGGTATTTCCCTGAGTTTAAGTTTTTATGGTAGATACTATATGCCAAAATTCTATTATCTAAAAGGGCACACCATACATTGAACCCCAATCTTCTTTGAACACTCAGAGACTTCATCGGTCCAGATAACATTTTGAACAAACAGCAGATTATTTAATTTTTTTAAATATCATCTACAAAATTCTAATCTTCGATTGACATCTCCGGCACGTAAATAATGAGTTAGCCCCGCTTTGTATGGTTTATACTTATTTTTCTTTCATATTCGGGAGCAGCGGCTTTTGGGTCAGACGTCTTGTTGCAATTTCTCTTGCAGGTCATTTTGGTATGTTTTTGTATGTGGTTTGGGGAAGGACCAAATATCTATTAAATTTTCTGCTAACCGGCTGAAGGTTCTTACGTGCGGTTGTCTTCTTTCTGGATATCTTGTGAAATAAAATTCCGCGGCTAACGTCGCATTCTTATCTGATAACATATAGCATTCCATCATGTTACATTTTTCATAATTTTCGAAATTCATTGTAAAGTTTTATTCAGTTTTGTTATACTTTGACACTTAACATGCTGGTGCATCGTACCAGCACATAATGCCAGAGTTGTTATCGAATTTTTAAATACAAACTTTGGCAATTATTTGATACATTATGTTCCATCATAGTATGTATGGTTATCACCATAGCAACATTAACTTTTAAATACATACATTAGTTTTAGATAGAACAAAATGAATTTTTGTTAATTATTCAATAACTATAAGAAATATACCCCACAAACTATATATATTTGTTATCAGAAGAAAATAACAAATTATTTTAAGTCATAGCCAACTATGGTTTCCATTTAAAAAAATAAAGTTACGTCTAAAATCTCGAAAATAAAAGATGGGAAAAAAATTCTACCTACGCCACTGAATTCTTCGTAAAAAGTTGCCCATATAATGTTTTATTTATAATACTCCATCTTTGATAATAAGTGAGATATTCGCGATTGTCGTTTTCGCAAAATTTTCAATTTTTGCCGATAGGGCGAAAACAAAAGACGATAGCTGCTCGCAGTTTTCGGCATTAGCATTTTCTCGAAAAACGAGATCATGACATGTAAGCTACATTTGTTTGTATCTCTTTTAGTTTCGGAGATAGCCTATGCGGACATCGAAATTGGGACACCCTGTACTAGGACGTAGTACTTTCCAAAATAACACAAGTTTTTTATATAAACAAAGGGTATACAATAGGGTTTATAAACTTTTTTGTTTAAGAGCTATGAGCTGTCAAAGTTGAGCCAGAAATTTGCATTTTATCTTTTATTTCTGAAATAAGTAAACCGTAAAATTTGAAATTATGTATGTATGTACTACTGGTTAATACCTTATTTTCAACCATACCTTAAATTTCCATAGCGTCCTCTGAGGGGATGATTTTTTTATAACAACTTTTTAACGCCATGGAATATCAACATAAAAAAATGGGTTGTAAAGCTATATTGGTACTTTTTTGTCTCTTTAGCTTTTTCCTTAAAGATAATACTTTTAGCGTGAAAAAATAAAATATGCTACATTGTACTGTAAAGCGCTGCTATTATAAAAAACAGAAATTTCTTTATAGCTGGCTATGGAAGTTGTGCACTTACTAGGATCTAGCACTAACTAAATAACACCAATTAATTGTGATTTTTATAAGAAAAACCATAAGATAAATCTGAACAAATTACGTTGTTTTAAACAATATTAAAAAATTGATACTCTTGTTTAATAACAGTCAAAAATTATTAATAGTCATCAACAATTATGAGGATTTACCGTAAATGAAACTTACAAGTTCTCGGAGCCAACTTTTAGAATAATTCTAGATAAACATGCCGGCACATAGCGGTACATGGCACGATATTTTATTTTTTTACACAGAAACTATTAACTTTAAGGAAAATACTAAAAAGACAAAACAGTACCACTAAAGAATGAGCTTTACAACCCATATTTTTTTATGTTAATATTCCATAGCGTTAATTTCATGCCCTTGGAGGACGCTAGGAAAATTTAAGGTATGCTTGAAAATAAGGTCTTAACTAATAGTAACTACGTATAAAGTTTCAAATTCTGCGGTTTACTTACAGCCGAAATACAAAACAAAATGTAAATTTTTGGCTCGACTTTGACAGCTCATAGCTCGAAAACTAAAGAGTTGCAACCCTACGGTTATATAAAAAACTTATGTTATTTTGGTAAGTACTACGTTCTAGTAAAGCTTCCCAATTAAAAACTGAACCACCCTATATACATATTTGAAGCAATCGCCTTTCCTATTTCAAGTTTTAACAAACTCTTTTATTAGTCCAAGTTTTATATCTAGTGGCTGAAGAATGATTTTTTCTCGATTTATCAACGGTGCATAAACATGTGATATTAACATTGCCTACAGTCATGTTAATTCTGTATGGCTAGTCTTTCCTACACCAGTGTTCACTTTACGCACGACTGTCCCATAGATAAAGAAAACATTTTTAAATCTACACACACTGACCATCATGATGATGAAATGAAGTTTATCTAAAACAAGTTTAATATTCTTCCTTAAGAGTAGTTCAATGAAGCTAATTTATTTCCGTAATGCAGTACCATATATTGCAAACTTTTTTTTGAGCTATCTATGAAAAGTTGCTAGTTTTTTAGTTGGTATACTCTCTTCTTCTCTAGTTCGATAACATGCTATACTCTAATTTTGAATTCGGAGGAGTAAAATGAAAAGTCAGATTTACATAGTGTAATTTTTGAAAGCTGTTTCGGCGGGAGTTTTAAAACCATAGAGGATTTTAAGTAAACTGTAGTTATGAATTTAATTACTTACTTTGTCCCACATTTTGATTATATATAATATGGATTGAGCCAACGAGAGAGATAGCTTGCGCAAGGTGATCGAACCGAGATAGACATAGAAGCGTACTGACATATAATGGGTGTACTGATAGAAGTGAGATAGATATAGAAGCGTACTGACATATAATATATCTATCTTTGTTACACTTTCACATTATCGCTTTCCATCTGCGTCTATTCACCTTGAGCAACATTTTTGTTAGTAGATATATTCAGTTAGCTCAATCCATATTATATATAATCAAAGGTCCCACATAAAATGCAACATGTCAA